TATAACCTTTGTTATCCTGATCTATACCTGTGTCAAACCATGATTTTGGGAAATAATATAGCATGCAAGCATTGGATTCATATCTTGCGATAAGCCACAATTTGAAAGAATTACACATCTAGCCCTGTAACGCAGAGGGTTGATTTGACAAATTATGATTGACAAATAGTGCTACCATTATACAACTTACTAATGCAAACTTAAATCACTTTATAGCTTAATGTGGTGTGTAGATGTAAATTCTTTCTTGCCTTGACTTTTTCTGTGAAAAGTCTTGTTGGCCTGGACATCTATTTCAAGTATTTCCAATTGACTTGATCCTATTTTCTATGTTAAAAGAAGCTGAAAATGGTATAACTGGTACATTTTTAGAGAATTCTAATATTTAAGCTTACTAACAGTTAATTTTTAAAGCAATACATTTTTAGAGAATTCTCATATATGTGGTATATGTGGTAATCTGCAGGCACAAGGCACACCCAGCCATGCACATTGACAATGCTGTTCCCTCTCCTAGTAATCCCAACGCAGAAGGAAGTACAACCCCACTCCTCACTTGATTTACCAACATTTCTTGCCCTGTTTCTAGAACAGAGGTCTCCAAACGTGGCAACTTTAAAACTTGTGGACTTCAACTCCCAGAATTCTGGCTGGCTAGAAAATTCTGGGAGTTGAAGTCCACAAGTCTTAAAGTTGCCAAGTTTGGGGACCCCTGCTCGAGAAGGTCATGTTTTGGCAAGACCCAGTAACCACAGAATCCTCTCATTTCAAAAGCCATTTGGTGTCACAGAGTGACTGAAGGCGGAGTAGTCCAATAGCACTAGGCTAATGTTTGTTAAACAAAGGACAATTGGTTGGGTTCATAATGCTAAACCGCATAATCCCAGCAAAAGGTGCATTTGGTTTAAGACTCCTAAACTTTTTGCAGTCACACCTCCCTTTAGTGTCATCTTAATGTATAAAATTTCCCCAAAAATCCAAATACACATGTATATATGTGTCATACAGTATATCATATTCACATCACATTCACTAAAACACAAAAGATAAAAATACAAAATGTGAATTATAAAATGTGACTTATAAACATATGTCTAGATTACAGATTTAATTTTTGCTTCATTTGTCATAACCGGGAAATCAAAGTCTCCATTATAGATTCTATTTTGGCATTCTGTCACTCTATATTGGATTGTTTTTTCAGCCTCCCACACAATTTGGTGATGATATTTTGCCCCACTTATAGAGGGCATCTGCACATCTACCATAGTACCAATTCAGTTCAGTGTTATCCATAACCAAACACCAAATGAATACAAATTAACAATGAAAATACAGTGAAACTTTGGGAAAGGTAGATTTATTATATTGTAGCTAAAAGATTCTTTACACCTCCCTAAAGTCAGTCTGTACCTCCCCTACAGTGTGTTCCTGGAAACCCTGGTTTAAGGTTTTCCTGACAGGTTCTACATGATCCAAATCACACTTTGAAAATGGATCAGTGCTCAGGGCTTGTGTTTTCACAGGTACTGACCCACAAGTTGCCAATTAAAATTTAGCTTAGTGTGTTGTGTAGTTACTCTAAGCAACATTGCATCATACATACTCAAAATCCTGATTCAGTTAATTATAGCCAACCTGTTGGACAAATATATCAATTATTTTTCCTGGGAAAATCCTACAGAATTAATGTCTTCATTCATTCAAAGCAGGATTCAGCAACTTGAGCCCTTAGGGCTGCATGGAGGCCTACAAATAACTCCTTTCTTGTAGCCCACAAGCCACTATTGACTAGAGTTGCCAGAAACTGGAGTTAAGATTTTTGAGGTAGAAAAAAGACAAAAATTGCTATCTATTCTACAGTATCATCTTAATTGTCAATAAAACAAAGAAACAGTCAATAAACTCCTATTGTATAACTTAAATTTACAACATTAAATGCAACTCTTGACCAATAAAATACTGCCTACTTCTTTAAGGGATCCACAAGACTTCCTGAAGCAGCACACAGGTGATTCTAATGCCCCAATTTTAATGAAAGAACGCTTGATTCTCTTCTCAGATAAAGAGGTCCATACTTCATTCAGCTGGTTGGAGTAATTCAGGCTTAAAGGTAGAAAGATAATGGCTGCAGTTGACTTTCTTTTAGACTAGCAATTTTTAACTTCTCTGTACTCTAAAAGGGTTTTAACTTGGTGACTGAACAAGAAACAGAGCAGGATTGAATTTCTTGTTAATTTACTCAGTACTATTAGAAGCCATCCATGGATGGGGAATTCTCATTGGAAAGCTACCTAGATGAGTGTTTAAGCCAGGTAAAGTCAAGGTTGTTAGTTTAGGTTAGTGTAAGGGTGACTGGTGTATCTTTTTGTGCTTGTGAATGGGGAACTGGTTGATTACCTTTTAATGTATTTTATTGTGCTAATCCTAAATGTATATTACTAATTTAGTATATTTTGTGAAGCCATAAAAATCAATTATGTATAAGTGGTGTTATATGAACTTACACCTTTCTCTAATGTAGTCAGTTATTGTTTGGAGAGAATTGCATATTTTTCTATAGCCAGGAAATTCCAGAGTTACACATTAACTGTACATATATATCTCCTTGCAGTTAGTTATCTTGCCAATAATACCAAAATGGTATATAAAACCAATAAAAATGCTATATAAAACTAATAGCAAAGAGTTCAGTTTGCCTAAAAGAAATCATTAAATTTGATTGGTAATACTTGTTTGTTTCTTGTTCTGAAGGTGCAAATATTCTGCTTGAATAAATTTAGCAAATATCTGTGTGACATTCTCAGCCTATTATACAGGTAATCCTGGACTTAGTTCATTTAGTAATCATTCAAAGTTACAATGGCACTGAAATATGTGGCTTAGGATCATTTTTCATAGTTACATTTGCAGCATTTCCCATGGTCATGTGATCAAAATTCAAATGCTTGGAAACGGGTTCATATTTATGACTTATGCTGTGTCCAGAGTCATGGGATCACCTTTTGCGATCTTCTCACAAGCAAAGTCAATAGGGAAACCAGATTTACTTAACCAGATTAAGTACAGTGATTCACTCAGTCACTGTGGCAAGAAAAGTCATAAAATGGGGCAAAACTCACAACAGATATTTTGGACTCAATTGTGGTTGTAAGTCGAGGATTGCCTGTATTGGCAGGCAGCCTGTAAGGACAATGTGCCTATTTTATCTTATTTATTCTATTTGTATATATGTGTTGTAGTAAGATAATTCTGGATAAGTGTTACTAAATGGCAAACTGCATTGAGGGGTGGTGGATTGTCTATTAAATTAACATCAAGACGGAAGATTTAAATTGGGGTTTTGCTGAATCATTATCATTTCCCATTGTTCCACTTGGCACCATAGTTTCTGAGACAGTTCATGAGTTTTAGCCAAACAAAAACAAAGTGTTGACCCAAACCACCAAGGGAACTTCCTAGTTGACCCCTTTCTTGAATAATAGATTTTGAGGAAATTTTCTTCCTCAAAGGTAAACAAGTTTTATTTATTTAGAGCCAATTGTCAGATTTACACAGTGCACTAAGCCATAAATTGCTTTTCCCAAGACTGTTTAAAAGCTCAGAATTGATTGTCAGATTTACACAGTGCACTAAGCCATAAATTGCTTTTCCCAAGACTGTTTAAAAGCTCAGAATTGATTTAAAGCACATAATATGCTAAACCATATATCATGGTTTCCATATCACTGTAGATGGAGTTGTGTTGGTCTATGGTGACAAGAAATGAGAAAGAGTTTGGTAGTGATTTTTCTAACACTTTTTATTAAAAGACATGCAATTTCATGAGCTGCTGTCCGCTTGGTTAGATGTAGAGAATGGCTTCTTCTATCTTTATTTCATCCGATGAATAACCAGACCCTACAACTGATGAAATAAGCAGCAACTCACAAAATCTTATGCCTTTTAAGAAGTATTAGAAAAAGTACTACCAGTATTCTGATTTTTTAAAATCACAACCTAAGGTTGTCAAGCGTGCCTAATAAGAATAAATAAGAAATTTCTCTAGCAGGGTATTTTAAAAATAACACTGATCTCTTCTGAGTTCATGGAATAAATAAATAACTTAGTTTGCTCAGCCCATTTGCCTACATGTAAAAATTAGGAGATTCATGGAATTTGCTTCCTAATAAATGTGCTTAGAATTATAATACTGTAGAGAGATTATTCAAGGGAGAAAAACAGTATCTGTTTTTCTGATTCATTTTAAAAACAATGCCTTTTCCATCCTAAGTAAAGGCATAAAGCTGTTTATTAGTCTTATAATTAAACATGAAAATAATTTGCTATTGCACATATTGGTAAAATTTCTCCACATATCGAAAACCTGAGGTTGTTCAATGAGTTTCGGCCTGTGGTTTGCAAGCCTGACTTTGAGTTTTACTACTGCACATTTTAAATAAAAACCTTTCATTTACTCTTGTTTTTTTTTTACAACAATCAAGGCCAAGTCATTAAATACCATGCCATCAATGTAGTCCCATAAGGAAATGATGGTGTTTTTAAGGGAGTGGTTCTCTGTAGGACTTTGTGTATCCATAAAGTCAAGGTGCCTGAAATATTTTTTGCTCCTCTGTCTTTGAAGGATGATCTTCCATCAAATAGCCCTCAAATGTATTCTCCCCTGAGTCTCTTGGAATCAGATTTGCCCATTTCTGTCATTCCGGGCACATTGTTTACTCCTCAGCCTGACCAAGGCAAAGACTTATCTTCAGTAGATCTCAGCTTCCTGCCAGATGATTTTGGACAAGATGACGAACATTGCAACAACAACATGCTGGAAGACTATCAAGGTCCTCAAGACAGTGGAATCTTCTCAGAGGAGAGTGGAGGGTCCCAACAGAAGGATGAAAACACAATTCATCCATCCTCTGATTTTTCTGGGATGTGTCCCTCCATGGCCCCCATAACTCCCATAACTCTTGTGTCCCCCGCTACAGAAGCTTCTGGCATTGTCCCACAGTTGCAGTAAGTTTTACTAAAAAGCTAGCTGATTTGGTACATTGGTAGTTGACACATTTTAGTCAAGCATGTAAATGAAAACCCAATTAGTGGGAGTAGCTAATGATTTGGTGGAATATTCAGTCCTAGAATATTGAATAATTGAGTAAGCTATGATTAAGTCAAGCTTATGGCATGGAGAAAAAGGCAAATATGCATTTAAGTTTCCTAGACAACCGTACCAAAGTGACTTGCCATTAACTTTTTCCAGGATGACTATGCTTCCCAGTTTAGCATACAGCTCTGATATTCCCAGGTAATCTGTCCAAATATAAATATAGCATTTTCTATCATATTATTGGAAACATAACTTGAGAGCTATAGCTTTTCAGCATATAATCAAGACTAAATTTGAAGTGATAAGAAAATCCAAGTATAAAGCAGGATTAGAGCCATATTATTAATTGGATGAGTAGATGGGAATGGATTTTAAAACCTAATATAAGTCATAGAGAGACCTGCATTTCCATCATCCCCCTCCCATCAGTTTGCAATTCATTTTTTAGTAAAAGTCGCTTTTGATGGTTATTCACATATTGTGACTAAACAATGCTTTTCTATTTCTATTCTTTTTTTATATACGTACTGTATAGAATGAGCCACTCTTGACTGGTTTCACATGCTATCTAATCGAAATTAGATTGTGACTTACAGCAATGTGTGATGCCAGACTCATTGATACATGCTTAGAACACTTTTCTAGTTTTTTCCTAGTTCACTTTCAACTGAAAGTAGTAGAACATGGCCTGCTATTTATTAGCTCAGTGGCAGCATCTGCTGAACCTTGTGCTGTAAACTAGATTGGGAAACTGGGGAAAAATAAATCTGGAAGAGGACATTGTCTCAAAGAGCCAGGTTTGACTAAAGGGAAGGAAATATTAGCATTAGAACCCACAAGACTCTTCAAAGGTAGCAAGGTGTATCCATGCCATAGTTGTGCCACTATCATGAGGGCTCAGTTGGGCTTTTTATTGGCTGAGTAAGGATGTTTTGGTGGCCTGCCAACTTTATTTAAGCATTTGATGTGCCTTTTTATTATGTTCTGAGAGTTAAAGAAATTGTAAAATGTTTTAGCAATCAAAGTAAACCTTGAGCCATTTCATAGCAGGCAGGAAGCATAGCCTCTCCCTCTTACTAAGATAGTAAAATGGGCCAGAAGCCATGGCAAATAAATTTGCTAAGAAGAGTTGACAGAAGGAGTTGACTATGGAGTTTTTGGTGCTATTTGAGCTTGATTTGTTTGCTTGCAGGGTTTCATTACCCAACTAAGTAATATTGATTGCTGAAGGGGATGTGTTCTAGTCTTTTTGTTTTCTAAGGGACAACATTTTCTCTATCAGCCAGCACTCAGATAAACAGACATCAATATTAGATAGACAAAAGGCAAGGTATTCCACAAAAACTAGCAAGGCAAGCTATAATATATAAACAAGCAGCAAACCCTACACTAACTCACACTGCAGATGTTACCTAATTGGGTAGGAGTGGGCTGGGGTTTGCCAAATTGGGAAACCACATAGGGACACATCCACAAAGCAAATATGACAATCTACATCTAAATTTCAGAAGCAACAGAACAAAACTACACACTCGGAATTGAGAACAATTGTTCTCATTTCTTGCTTTGAGAAAACCCATTTTGAAAAATGAGAACAAGATTCAGATTTCTGTAATGGACATATTGGGTAAAAGTTTTTTTTTCTATTTTATTACTCTCACAGGCTGAGGGCATCAAATTATCTGTTGCTGCTAAATTCTCTGAATCTGATGGAAACCAATCATCTTCAAAAGATAACAGGGGAATTTTTAATAAATATGGAAATTTATTAAGCAGCTTTGCATGCAAAAATTGCCAACTGTAAAAGCATACAATATTTTTGAGACATTTATAATAACGCAGCAGCATCATGTCCATCATGTGATTTAAAAAAAGAGTTTTCCAGAATTGGGTGGCCAATTCTTATAAGACAAAGTAACAGACCTACATAAAACAAAAGTGTTTTTTGGAGTGAACTATTTTTTGAGTTTTTCAAACTACCCATTTTTCTAGTGCCTACTTTTTTTAATCCAAACAATCCTGGGCTGTTCCACCATTGTCTATTTCTTACCCTCCTCTTCAAGCAGATAGCAAGTATCAAATCTTTTGGCCTCTTGATTTTTTCACAGCATGATTCAGCTGCACATCCTTCATCTTTAAGGCTGTTTTTCCATGTTTTTAGTTGTTTTGACATACCCTTGGTAATTGCAGGGTGGGGAGAAGGTAGATCTTGCTCACCAGCTGGCCTAAATAATGACCTAATGAAGGTGTCCACACTCCTTCCCTTCTGATCAAGATGACTCAGTCAGTCAGATGACCTCCCAGTCTAGCCATCCAGAATCCTGTATAATTACAAAGAGAGAAAGATTAAGATGGGAACCACTCAATAAAACCAGTCATAATTCTTTTCATTTTTTCTTTATCTATCCTTTGATTCTTTTTTCTTGTAATTAAACATTATAATTAAAAATGTTTTGTTTTTTTTTTTAAAAAAAGAGAGCTATCAGAAAGCAAAAAGACAGATCAGTAGAGTCAAATTTTGGGTTATGGTTACCAACAATTCTGTTGGGGACCAGACACTGTTAATCATATCTTTAGATTCAGCACACTTTGTGAAAATATTAAGCAGTATATGTGGTGTTTTTTTTACCTTGACTACAATAAAAACTACTAAGAAAACCCCAACATGGGAAAGTGTATGCTGTAGATACTAGAACACCCTCAAGTCTAGCCCCATTGCTATGTACCAGTTTTTGTGTTGGCAGAAAAACAAATCAGCAAGAAATTTGCTTTCCTTGTTGCTGGTCCCAGTTTTGTCATTAGAAAAAAGGGACAGACATGTTTATGCCACAGTTACACATAAGTAGGGAAATGCTGTAAGAATCAGATAGCCCTAAATTGTCAGAGTTTATTATCTCTAGATCAGGGGTCCCCAACTCCTGGTCCATGGAGTGGCACCTGTCCGCGGCATGCCAGATACCTGTCTACGCAAACAAGCAAAGCCCCATCCATGGGATGCAGGCAGCACACAGACCAGGCCTCTTCTGGCCCACGGAAAAATATCTCTCCACGGAACTGGTCCCCGGTGTCCAAACGTTTGGGGGCCGCTGCTCTAGACAATACAGTATAAATACAACTATACCCAAATAATACAATGTACTACTTGTGTTTTTAATGAAACAATAAAATAATATTTTAAAAAAAGAATTCCAGGGCCTGGAATAAGAAGAAAAATGAAAAAGAAGCTGTTTTTACTTATGTTATTGCACTCCTTTTAAGTAAAGTTCCTAAAGGCTTTTTTTGTTCCTGTTACTCTGCCAGGAACATAGTAGCCACTGTAAATTTGGCTTGCAAATTGGACCTAAAGAATATAGCTCTTCATGCCAGAAATGCAGAATATAATCCAAAGGTAAGTACTAGTTCTCTCTCTTGTCTAAGGATTTTTATTTCCACCTCTGAAGCTGCTTCTCTTCAAAATCTGACCTCTATAAAGATGTTCCAAGCAATTCCTTGGCCCAAATACACTCTCTTTAGTTTGCCTTTTCCAAGGTCGCTTCATAATAGTATCCTGGCCAGTGAAAGTCTACTTAGAATTGCCATGCTATGTTTGCTCATTTCTTATCTATATTTACCCTGCTATTCTTCTGTTATAGAAGGCCGCCTGTGGAATGCAGGACACACACCTGACAATCCCATCCCATCATCTCCAAGCCTTGGCTAGCATACCACACTGAGACCTCAAAAGATATGCTTGCCCAAAGCAGTATTTTTGAGAGTCTGGAAAGTCCAGTTATATTTTATAAACTATCTAATGTTTTTTCTTTGAAGACATTTTGCTTCTCATCCAAGAAGCTTCTTCAGTTCTGAGAACTGAAGTTCTGAGAACTGAGAACTCAGAGAGCTGAAGATGCTTCTTGGATAAGAAGTGAAACATTTTCAAAGAAAAAAACAAGGAAGTTGAGTTGTCTTTTGGAAAAACCACTTTGGAACATCCTGCCCTGCCCTTCAAGCCAGGCATATGCAGCCCGTACAGTTTCTACATTGTTAATGAACGTGACTGAGCAGTGGGTCTCAAACTCCTCCCCAGCAAGCCAATTCACACTGTTCCTGTTTCTTGCTTTGGTGTAGTTAGTAGCTTGATAGTTCTTGCTGTAACTACTAGGAAACACCACATTTGGCATCATCCCATTAACTTTGGACTCTCAGATAAATTTTAATGTTTCCTGGTAATTAAATGATATCCTTTGGGTGAGTAGCATAGAGGTATCTGACTAGATATTTCAAGCCCACCAGTGATTAAGAAAATAAAACTTTATTTTTTGAAATAAATAAAATATAAAAGCCCTAAAAATTCCAAAAGAGCAGATGACAAGATGGGGATGGAGTGCTACAAATGAGATGTTGCAGATTAAGTTAACAGACTATCAGAAGATTATAAATAAAAGTGATAATTTCCTGCCTATCTAAAGAATAGTCAGCAAAATTGAGGTTATGTATTTCCTAACTTTGAACAGAGAACAATAATGTTAGATGTTTGTCTAATTAAATGTCAGAACAAAGAAAGAAATCAGACCTAATGTAAATTTGGCTACATTTGGTGCCTATTTAGAACTAGACTTCTCTTGAAAACAGGCAATGCCTTGGTCTCAATTAGCTGGATAGTCCTCACAGGCCTGCTAAGTTCAAATATATCAGGACATTAAAATAATTTAAATAGATAAAAGGCTACATTCACATTTTATAGACTTTATTGACAATGTTTATAAGTTATATTTTATAAAGAGAGACCTATTTATGTAAGATCTTTCCCAGGCCAGTAAGGTCACTTGCAGCTACTGAAGCAATCTCAAAATAAGGATAGAATGGGAAGAAAAATGTTTATGGTTCTCAATAAATAAACTAGCTTGGTCTAGGAATCAAGGCAAGAAAGCAGGAGTTTATGAGTTCTAGTCCTTCCTTAGCCGTGAAAGCCAGCTGGGTGACCTAAAGCCAGTAACTCAGTCTCACCCCAACTCACCTCACATGGCTGTTGTTGGGACAATAGAAAGAGGAAGGAGTATTGGATATGTTCGCCACCATGAGTTATTTGTAAAAAAATAATAGCAAGGTACAAATAAATAGACATTCATACAATGAGTAATATAGTTTAAAAGTGTTCTGTTGTGGAACAAAGACAGACTCAAGACCAGAGTTGAATTCAGCTCTTTATTAACTGTCAGTAACTTCAACTAAACTCGAGCCGCGGCAGCCTCTTTTATAGCGGCTGCTCGCGGCTCGCGGCCAATGGCATCATTTTAAACCTCCCGCTGTTTGGCGGACCAATCGCAACAGTTGTTAACCACCAATCGCTATGCGGCAGTGGTAGTCCAATCAGAACGTAGTATTACGAGTATGCAAATGTCTATATACAACACCCCTCCCCTCTTGGTTTGGTCCAACTCTACGTTATGTAGTCACGTAAGTAGGTGGGGCTTTTATGGTTCCTACTTGACCTGCGCAGTTCAGTCTCGGTGTTGTCTTCGGTCGGTTCGCATGGGATCGCTGTCTCTCCTGTCCTTCTCCCTGGAACCTCCTGGAAGGGTGAGTCAGCCATGCCGCTTCCGCCTGGTCTCTTCGGGCTGGTTGGGTCGGCTTCGCCGCTCCCTCCTGGCTTGCCCGGGCAGGTCGAGTCGGCTCGGCTGCTTCTTCCATGGGTAGTCTCCAGCTCCTTTCTTCCGAACTCGCCTGCAGGTAAGTAGTTTTTATTTTTTGTTGGGCTTTCTGTGCTGGTTGGTGGTTCATTTTTTGTTGTGTTAGTGGAGGGTCTTCCCTCTCTTTATTGTTTGAGGGTTCCCCCCCTCTCTGGTTTTATTATTATCTATTGGACTTTGTGTATGGGCATGTTCTATGTCTCGGGGTATGTCGGTGATTCGTTCTAGAGTTCGAGACCATAGTTGGTCTATGTGTCTCTTCCAGGTTCTGCCGTCCGCCGTTTCTAGTCAGTATGACCGGGGCCCTGTTATTTGTATTATTGTGGCCAGCAGCCACAATGGGTCCCCAGTAAGATTTTTTGCGTATACCAGGTCGCCTGGTATAAAGGTGCAGTACTTACTGGAGGAGTCTGGTAGCTTTTCAGAGTTGTAGGTGGGGTGCAATCTATCCAAATGTGTCCGCAATTTTCTGCCCATTAAAAGTTCAGCTGGACTCTTGTTAGTTGATGTGCTCGGTGTTATATGTGTCAAGTTATCAAGTGTCAAGTTTTTCTAATGCCTCTTTCGTATATCAAACCATGCGTTCCACCCGTCCGTTTGAAGCCAGGTGAGCTGGCGCTGTTAGGGCATGTCGTATGCCCTGTTCTGCGAGGAATTGTTCAAAAGCTAAGGCTGTGAACTGTGGGCCATTGTCCGAAACTAACAAGTCCGGTAACCCATGCGTAGTGAAAAGTTTTCTTAGTTGTTTGGTGACGGCTTCAGTCGTCGTGGAATTCATGATGCTGACCTCCAACCAGTTTGAGTAGGCATCGACAATGATTAAAAATGTATATCCTTTTGTGGGTCCGGCAAAATCTATGTGGATCCTCGACCAGGGGCCTCTGGATGTCTCCCAGTTGAGGACCGGTGCTGGAGGGAGGGTAGGTCTGGACTTCTGGTATTTATTGCATGTTGACACCCATGTTTCAATGTCTTTGTCCATCCCTGGCCACCAGACGTAGCTTCTGGCCAGGGATTTCATTTTTACGATACCCGGGTGTCCTTCATGTAACATGCTCAGTACTTCTTCCTGTAATCTTTGAGGAACGACAACTCTATCCCCCCACAGTATACATCCCTTTTCAGCTGACAGCTCAGTTTGCCGGGTTCTGAAGGGTTTAAAGGTTTCGTTCTTATCGTTTTCCAGCCAGCCCCTCCCTACCCAGTTCAGGATTCGGGCCATCAGTGTGTCTTTTGTGGTTTACTTTGAGATGTCTGCTGCGGTGATAGGCAGGTTCGGTAATGTTTCAATTTGTAGAGTGGATGTGGTAGGAGCTGGGTCGTCATCCAGATGTGGTAGAGGTGAGCGGCTCAGTGCGTCGGAATGGGGTATGGCTTTTCCTGGTCAGTGGACGAGCTTGTAGTTGTAGGCTGCAAGGAATTCCGACCACGTCATCCTTGGCGACAAGATGTTGGGGGTGGCTCTGTTTTCCGCCAGGATTCCCAACAGTGGTTTGTGGTCAGTAATTAAAGAAAATGTCCTACCATAAAGGTATTCGTGAAAACGTTTGACCCCTGATATGGCGGCTAAGGCTTCTCTATCCAGTTGGCTGTAGTTTCTTTCGGCTTTTGACAGCGTTTTGGAGTAAAAGGCGACCGGTGCCTCTCTGCCATCGGGTAGTGTGTGGCTAAGTATGGTGCCCACACCGAATGGTGATGCGTTGCAGGTGACAGTCAGTGGCAATGTGTCCTTGTATTGGATTAATACAGATTCGGACGTTATTAAGTCTTTAACTCCCTGGAATGCGGCTTCTTCTCGTTGGCCCCAAGCCCAGGTGGCTTTTTTATTGAGTAGTCTGTGTAGTGGTTCCGCTATTGTTGCCTTCTGCGGCAAAAAGACATTGTAAAAATTAATGAGTCCCAAAAATGCCTGTAAGTCTGTTTTATTTTTGGGTCTAGGTGCTTCTTTTATAGCTCTTTTTTCCCCCGGTGGGGTGGATCCCTGCTTTATCAATAAGGTATCCCAGGAACTCAACCTGATTTGTGACAAGTTGGCATTTTTCTTTTTTGACCTTGAGTCCTGCTTCTCTAAATCTTTGCAAGACTTCCCTCAACCGGTCTTTTAGTTGCTTTTTATTTCCGGCGGATACCAATACATCATCAAAATAAGGGACCACCCCTTTTAGTCCTTGTAGGAGGCGCTCCATCAGGCTTTGGAAAACGCCTGGGGCCACGCTGACACCAAATTGCAGCCTGTTGCATTTGAATGCCCCCCTATGTGTTACAATAGTCTGTGCCTCTGCCGTCTCGGGATCGACCAGCAATTGTTGACATGCTTGCGCGAGATCGAGCTTTGCAAAAACTTTTCCTCCCCCCAACGAGTGCAAAAGGTGCTGAACTACTGGAACGGGGTATGCGCTCTGCTGTAATGCGTGGTTTAGGGTGGCCTTATAGTCACCACAGATGCGCACGGACCCATCTGGTTTCACGGGGGCCACAATCGGGGTTTCTCATCTTGCGTGGTCGATTGGCTCTAGTACCCCTTGTGCGATGAGTTTGTTCAGCTGCTCATCGATTTTTGGCTTTAAGGCAAAGGGGACGCGTCTGGCCTTTAGCCAGATGGGGGCTACGTTCGGGTTCAGACTAAATGATATAGGGGTCCCACGGTACTTGCCTAGCGTCCCGTCGAATACGTCCTGGAACTCCTTCATCAGGCTTTCTTCCCAGTCCGTCTCGGTGACACTGTTGATTCCTGTCACCTCGATCCCCAAGGGTGCGAACCATTCTAACCCAAGCAGGCTGGGGCGATCTCGGTCGACAATTGTCAATGGAAGGACCTCAGTATGTCTTTTGAAATTTATTTTGAAATGTCCCAATCCAACTACCGGAATCTTGTTTCCTTGGTAGTCTTTTAACGTCAGGCTTTGCTCTTCAAGTTCTTTTCTTTGTATGTCTGGTATCAGGTTTTTTATGGTGTTCCATGACACCATTGACAGATATGAGCCGGAGTCCACCTCCATCTCATATGGTCGTCCTTCTATTTTAACGTTTATGCGAACCTTTCTTGCATCGGTTGCTCTGGCATTTCCAATGATGATTGTTTGGTGTGTTTCTTCTTTTTCGTTGATTCGCTTACTTCTGTTTTCTTAGCTCCAACGACTCCCGGTCTGTCTCTCTCTAGTTCTGAGGGAGGTGCTGCCTCGTCTTTTAGGACTATAGCTCTTTTTGTTTCGGCAGACCCTTGCAATGTGCCCCCTTTTTTCACAGTGTCGGCAGATGGCGTCCAAGAAACGGCACTCAGAACGCGGGTGGTCTCCTCCGCATCCGGCACACTGAAACTCAGGCTTCCTTTCTCTTTTTTCTTGCCGGTTTCGTACCGACTGAAGCCTATGTATTTCCTCGTCTTCGTCCTCGGTGTCGGGCGAGGAATCGATATCTTCATAGTGGGTGGTTGCGGTAGTGTGTTTCTGAGTACCTTCTGCTTTCTTTTCTCGGCTTTGGCTTGGGCTGCTCTGCATTTCTCGATTAGCCGTATTCATTTGTCGCATTGTAGCCACTGATTTCTTTGCTGCTTCAGCTGTGGTGGCTTCAGCGATAGCCTCGTTCACGGTGATGTTGGGTTGGTTCAGTAATTTGCTTTGTAATGTAGTGTCTCTCAACCCGAGGACCACGCGGTCTCTCATGGCTTCGTCCATGTTGAGGAATTCGCATGCTCCTCCAATGTCCCTTAGGGCTGCTACGAAATCCCCGATACTCTCGCCTTCTCGTTGATCTCGTTTATAAAATTTGTGTCTTCGGATGAGGTTGGACACAACCGGCGCATAATGGGCTCTCAGTATCCGGTTCAAATCTGGCCATGCCATCTGCTTAACATCATGAGGTTTGGCCAATGCCTTGGCCATTTTGAAGATAGTAGGGCCGCAGTGCGTTAGGAATACGGCTCTCTTCCTCTGGTCAGTGATTCCTTGCAGTTCGTTACTCTCCAGGAACATAAGAAACCTGTCAATATATGACTCCCAGTCCTCTTCGGCTGGGTTGAACGGTGTGGGTGGCGAGTTATTGCCGGCCATCTCATCGATTGCTCAGTTCTTGTTGCCACGTGCTTACAGTCTCTTTCTTCTCGATCCCACCTTCGGCGCCAGTGTTCTGTCGTGGAACAAAGACAGACTCGAGACCGGAGTTGAATTCAGCTCTTTATTAACTGTCAGTAACTTCAACTAAACTCAAGCCGCGGCAGCCTCTTTTATAGCGGCTGCTCGCGGCTCACGGCCAATGGCATCATTTTAAACCTCCCGCCAATTGGCGGACCAATCGCAACAGTTGTTAACCACCAATCGCTATGCGGCAGTGGTAGTCCAATCAGAACATAGTATTACAAATATGCAAATGTCTATATACAACAAAAAGGATTTTAAATTTGGATTTTTCTGAATTTTAGAGATTTGCTGCTGTAATTATGAGAATTAGAGAACCAAGAACAACTGCCCTTATATTTAGTTCTGGTAAAATGGTGTGCACAGGAGCCAAAAGGTAGGACTGCTAAGCTTTACAAGATTCCTCATCTAAAGATAGGATTGTTGTGATATAAGGCTAATGTGATTGGTTCAGACCATTAACACTCCATCTAGTTCAGACTGGGCATCAGAAAAGGGGCGTTGGTATTTACCTGATACGCCCGTTATCGGTGAGCTGTGACGAGCATCCACAGTGTGGGAGGTGCTTAGTCTCTGCTCGGATAGGCTGGGCTTAATTGAATAGGACACTGTTACTCTTCCCTGGCTCCTCCCTAGTGTCCCCCAGTTTTGGCGAAGACAAGGTGATGCAACCCCCATCCTCTTAATTGTTCTGTTTGTGTTGTTTTTTTAAAAAAACTTATATCCAAATTAGTCGTTGGCCGAAACAGGACCCTACCAGACGGATATTGAGTGGGGCTGGATGCTCGTCGCAGCTCACCAAGAACGGGCGTACCAGGTAAGTACCAATGCCCCTTCTCCATTGAGCTGCTCCGAACATCCATAGAGTGGAACATACCAAAGCTTGGCTTGTCCTATGGGAGGCTCTCCGTCTGAGTTGGAGCCCCCCCACTGTCCGAGTGGACTCATTGTAACACCCTCCTACCAAAAGAGGATTCAGCAGAAGCAAATACATCAATTTTGTAATGCCTAATGAAAGGCGATGGGGAGACCCATGTTGCCACTCTACATATTTCTGCTATAGGAGCTTGCGTGGCCCAGGCTGCTGAAGCTGCCACGCTCCTTGTTGAGTGGGCTGTGATGCCCCTAGGCACAGGCAGTGATTGAGTCTCGTATGCCTTGGCTATCGTGGCCTTCAGCCACCTGCCTATAGTCGAAGGGGAGACCTTCTGCCCCTGAGAGGTTGGCTGAAAAGATACGAAAAGAGCTTCAGTCATTCTGAAAGGAGCCGTTCTATGTAAGTAAGTACGGAGAGCTCTGCAGACATCCAGTCGATGCCATTGATGCTCTAGGCCCTAAGAAGGTCTGGGGCAAAAGTTACAGAGAACTAGTTCTTGTGACCTGTGGAAGGCAGAATTGACTTTAGGAGTGAACGTGGGGTCTGCTCAAAGCACTACTCTGTCAGTATGGAATATACAGAGGTGCTTTTGGGCCGATAGAGTTGCGTTTTCTGATATACGCCGTGCTGATGTTATAGCCACGAGGAAAACTACCTTGTATGTGGGAAAATGGAGGCTAGTAGTTTTCAGGGGTTCAAATGGACTCTTCGTGAGTGCTGTGAGGACCTTGTTAAGGTCCCAAGTCGGGTAATGATGCACCACTGGCGGACATAAATTTGTGGTGCCACTAAGAAAACTCTTTATCCTTGGGTGGTAGGAGATGGATGGTAGACCTTCCCAAGTCACCACTGAGGCAATAGCTGCCACTTGTTGTCTTAAAAGTGTTTGGAGAGAGACCCCTGTCGAGACCATCTTGGAAACTCTAAAACTTGTGCAACTGACGGTCCACCTTGGATTTGGTGCAACATTTGAAGAAGATAGTCCATGTGGCATTATATATATGGCTCGTAGAAGGGCGCCGAGCTGCTTGAATGGTATTAATCACCCTGGCCGAAAAATTATTCTTTCTTAGATGTCGCCACTCAACCTCCAAATGGCTAGGTGGAGCCATTGAGGGTCTGGGTGCTGGATAGGTCCTTGGGTGAGCTGAATTTTGTGCGGTGGAATTTTCCATGGTTCTTCTGTGGACAGGCCCCTGAGATCCATAAACCACGGCCTCCTGGGCCAGTAGGGTGCCACCAAGATCAGGTCCAATTCTCGTCTAGTAGTTTTTGTACCACCTTGGGTATCAATGGGAGAGGCATATAGGGCCACCGGCAAAGGAGGGCGTTGATGTTCTCCGCTCCCTGGGATGGGTATCTTGAAAAGAATCTCGGGAGTTGCGAGTTCAGGGGAGAAGCGAACAGATCTAATCTCTGGACTGCCTCTTGAAACAGGTCTGGATGCAGACGCCACTCTGATTGGTCGATCGTGGCCCTGCTTAGCCAGTCTGCCTGTGTGTTTGTCAGGCCGGAAATATGCTCTGCTCTGATAGAGGCTAAGTTCCTTTCTGCTCAAAGGCACAGTCTCTCTGCTTCCCACATGAGATGTTTCGAGTGGGTCCCCCCCATCTGTTAATATGTGCTTTTGTTGTGACGTTGTCTGTCAGTATTAGTATGTGTCTCCTTTGAATATGTGGGAGGAAACTGCGAAGGGCCAGGTGGACTGCTCTGAGCTCCAACCAATTTATGCTGTTCAATTGCTCTGCAGTTGACCAATGCCCTTGAGCCGAGAGGGACTGGAAATGAGCTCATCTGAACAGGCTGGCATCCATGGTTATGGTGTGAGTCTTTGGGGCTCTTCCAGTGGGCAACCCTCATTGATGGCTGGAACTGTCCACCACTGTAGAGATAGCCAGACTTTTGTAGGAACTAACACTCTGGTCCTGGAATTGCTTAGTCCTGATCTTTGGAACGGAAGCAGATACCATTGGAGTGATCTAGTGTGAAATCGAGCCCAAGGAACAATAGAAATACAGGAGATCATTTTTCCCAGTAGTTTAGACAAATCGGCTAGAGGAACCCGTTTGAGGAAAGCTGCGTTAAGCTGCGTTAAGCTTTGAGGAAATTAAAGCCTCTCACAGGAAATGTGAAATTCAGGAATATGGCCACATGATGCAATGTGGACAAAATGGCGAAGTCCTGTAAATTGCACATCAAAAAAGACCATTGCCCAACTTTAAAATTGCGCCGGCTGGATTTTTGTTTTGGCGCCCACACCACTATAACCTTTGTCGCACAGTCGTTCAAAAGGGCACCAAAAAACGGATACTGTGCGACTGAGCGATGAAGAGGGGACCAGAAGGGCTCCACCACCCCCGCCCCTGTGTATCCTAGGGGAGGAAAGGCCACTGGAGAAGGCAAGTAGGAACCAAATGAGCGCGCTATCTTAAAAGCAGCTCAAATTTCGAATCGCAATGGCAAGACAGAAAATATTCAAAGAGTGGCAACCGCGATCTCTGGGGGAAGCGTGGCTGCCGAAAGATGAAGCAAATTACGATTGCTATGGGCGCCAATGTGGCCCGATCGTCAAAACAATCTGCTTCGTTCTGACTGCTTTCTCACTCTCTTTTTTCTTTTTACCAAATTGCTGTCGGAATTGAGAAAGACGGTCAAAGAATTTAGAATACTGACTAGCTAATCAAACCTGAAGTGTTCCTGCTCCGGCCAAGGATAAGCTTCCTATCACACCAAAGGCTGAGCTAAAACTGGGGATGCTAGGGAGGAGCCAGGGAGGAGTAACAGCGTCCTATTCAATTAAGCCTATCCGAGCAGAGATTAAGCACCTCCCACTCTCTGGATGCTTGGAGCAGCTCATTGGAGAACACTCTAATCATCCTAAGAAACAGCCAATGTCTTTGAAATGTTTTTTAAGGCAGTAAGTACATGTAGATTTATTGCATTGGTAATTGTTTCATTTATTTAGTGCAACAAGACCAATTAATGTAAACTATACAGCCCTTGGAAATTCCACATTTAGAAAAAATAGAATTGTTTTTGTAATATTCCAGCATACTATGATATACTACCAAAGTTAATTAATCTTCCCAAAGCTGGTACTTACCAGGTGTGTTGAACTACAGTTCCCACAGATCACTAGCTAGCATGGACAGTGACATGGTTGGCTGAGTATGAAAGGATCTATACTGGTGGTGCCCATTTAACAACTGCAATTGGTTTCAAGAAAATAGCTTGGAGTCATGTGCAATGGAAAATGGCATAAACTTGATCTCCCCCAAAGTCCATGAGGCCTTATCTGGTCATTCCCATGAGAAGATAAGCAATCTGGTGAGATTTTTGTAACATAGGCGATAAATAATAAAGTCACTGACTGAGGTTATTTGAGTAGTTCTGGTTGCTGGTGCCTGATAGCACTCCAATATTTTTTTTTGTTCAGTAACAGGAAACTCTGATAGGTATTACTAGCAACTGTGAGGTAGGAAAAACCTTCAGAAGCCAAAATAACAGGTTGGGAGAATACAGGTGACTAAGAGAATTGAAATTACTCACTCTTGTCTTAAAGCTTTGCTGGTTGGCTTTGTTTTCTAATGCTTGTTGTAAATTTGCAGCGAAGAGCAGTCGCGACTGGCAGCTAGAAAGTACGCTCGCGTGATACAGAAGCTCGGATTTCCTGCAAAATTCCTGGATTTCAAAATACAGAACATGGTGGGAAGTTGTGATGTGAAATTTCCCATACGCTTAGAAGGATTAGTTCTAACTCATCAACAATTCAGCAGGTATGTCTCTCCCCATGTGTGTGCAAGGGGAAAAGGTACCCGGAAGACTTTGGCTTCCATCATAAGCCAAATGGCCACTCACTGGCAGTTGAGATGGTGGGAACTGTAGCTTGGGACCTAAAGTTGGGAAAGGCAGATGAATATCAAAATAGTATTTCTACTGATTGTTCAGATAGGTTGGCTGAATGGTTTTGGGAGGCTGTTGAATTCTGGAACCTGTGCCCTTTTGCTTCAGATCTAAATACTGGCATTTGAATTTTTTGCCGTTCTGTGGTGCATATCATGAAAGAGCTCATGGCATCAACTAGCTGTCTTCTAAGAGAAAGCAGTTATATTTATCCATGCAAAACTGTTGCCCCGTTGCCCCATTAATGATCAGTTTGGAAACTCGTGATTCAATTATTTTTTTCAGGATCTGAAAGATCTCTCAGGTTTGTGTTGTTTGCTGATTATTACAACAATCAGAACTTGATGCCAGAAAACTCTGGGTTTCCTTACCAATCGAAGTGTAAATACTTATGTTGGCTGAGTCTGATGGGGTTTTTATGAAATATTTTGAAATCATCATTATATTTTGTTTTTCTCTGCATCTCATTTAGATTTGTTCCAAGAGAATCATATAAAATCAGATAGGATTTCACCAACTAGCATTACTTACTTGGGACACTTGTTTTGATTTATATCCCACTTTTCTATTCAGTTTGAGTTCTCAGGGTAAAATATTGGATAGGTGTTGCTCATTTTGAGCAAGAAGCATGTGTGGTAATTGGGGTGTGAGCTATGAACATTCTAGAAAAAGGCTGGCCATTCCTAATTTGCAACTTCAAAACAGCTATTACCAGAAGACAACTAGTTTGGATATTCCTGACCATCCTTCTATCTTTTCAAGACATTTTAACAACCTTTTATCTTTCTCTTTTTAATGGGAAGGTGAACGTATTGTAACATTTTTAATATTGTAATTTTAATATATTGTTATATTATTATTATTATTATTTGAACATATTGTAACATGTTTTAACTTTTTAATGGGAAGGTGAACGTAAGAATGTATTCAGCTCCTGTGTGTGACTCATCAAAGCAATTGCATCTGTTTCCAGGACTGCAGATACCACCTTAGAAAAGAGACTTTATATTGTTACTAGGGTTGTGTAATGCTTCAGACTGTAATGGAAAAGGTGCTTCAAAACATTAAGAAGTGCAAATGCAACCTCTGCAACTGATTAAAGCAGCCATATCCTTTTTCTAAGGTGGTACCTGCAGTACTGGAAACAGATGCGATTGCTTTAATGAGTCACACACAGGAGCTGCATTTACATTCTTCATGCATTACAACATCCCATCTTCTGTTTTATTTTCTTAGTTTGGAAGTATGTATGGGGCTCAGATATATTACTTGAAATATAAATTATATCTGAGGGTTGCTACTTTGCTTTATAGTGCACAGTTACCAGTGTTCAAAGCATATTAAAAATTTGATAGAGCTGAAAATATGGATGGCACTAAGAAACGTGAGCCAGCATGACCAAAGCAAGCTGTGTACAAAACATGAACCCAAGGGTATATAAGAAATTTTCCATACAGAAGGACTGTATTCAGGGGAAAATGCAGTGATACATTAGTGCTCAGCTCTTTGGAAACTGGTATTCAATGCATTTTGACATAAAGTTTGTCCTGGTACTCATCATTTGTTTGGTATTCAACGCACAAGCTAGACCTTGTCGGTATTGGTGTTTTTTTAAACGTGTTTTTGAAAAGAGATATCCAGTTGATTTAATTAAAAATGCAAACCCCCTTTTGTAATAATGCAAATTGATACCTGATTAGAACTATAAAAATTGAAGTACAAACATTTTTACGTGTAATTTTTGCTTATTAAAGAGCAAACTAAGGAATTAGAATGTCATTGATAAAGGGAGTGGGACAGAATAAAGGTTAACAAAAAGGAGCTAGTAGCAGGGAAGAACAGACTGTATTTTTTAGGCACTGGAAATTTCAAAGCTATTTTTAAAAAAAGAACTCTCTGAAAGATACCTTGTTGGTTCATAGATAGTAAATTTTGTCTATTTTAATTTTTTTCTGAAAATTGTAGTTATGAACCAGAGCTGTTTCCTGGGCTTATCTACAGAATGGTCAAACCAAGAATTGTACTGCTTATTTTTGTGTCTGGAAAAGTTGTTTTAACTGGTAAGTAATTAAGTTGTATAAAAGCAGTCTATTTTTGCATCACTGACACATACACAAACATTGTAGGCATATCTGTCTATCTAGCATTACTGTTATTATTATCAAAATTTATGTGCTGCCAAACTCACGGTTCAAGGAGACTGTTGGAGCTAGATGAAGCTATTCTTTTAGACTGGTGTTTCTCAACCTCAACAACTTTAAACTAGATACTGTTTAAAGTTGTTAGATACTGTAGTTGAACTGGCTAGGCCAATTCAATGGGAGAATGCAGTCCTACACAGGATAAGGCACCAAGTCATGTAGGATTTTATAAGTTAGTTACAGCACTTTAAATAACCCCTTTAAGACTTGTTGGCAACAAGTACAGGTTGTTGGTGCGATGTGTTCCTGTTGAGGAGCCGTGGTTGAGGAGCCGTGGTGATGCAGTGGTTAGAATGCAGTATTGCAGGCTAACTGCATAATGCCAGAAGTTTGATCCTGACGGTTCAAGGTTGACTCAGCCTTCCATCTTTCCAAGGATCCAGAGTGTTGGGGGGCAATATGCTGACTCTGTAAACTGCTTAGAGAGAGTATAAAGCACTATGAAATGGTATGTAAGTCCTGCTATTGACAAACATGCACACAAATAGCTGTGTTCTGAATCAACTGCTGCTCAAAAGTGACTTTCAAAGGTAGCCCACGTTGAGCACATTGCAGTAACCCAAGAAGGTGGTGATGAGGGCATGAGTTATTGAAAAAAGATCCTCCCACTCCATTACGTTGGCAACTGGTTCACCAATCAAAGTTGAAAAAGTCCATCCTGGCCACAGCCTCCACCTGCTGTTCTAGCGGAACTGAGTCTAGAACCCCAAGTCACATTACCTCTTTCAGGGTAGTGGCATCTCATGAAGAGACATCTCTGGAGCAGACAATAAATCCTGATGGAAAATAGTAACTCCCATTTTACTAGGCTTCAGTTAAGCCCATCTTCTCCCATACAGACTTTAACAGGCTAACATGGGGTAACAATGTAAAGTTGGCCATTATCATTATATTAATATAAACTTCCAAAGTTTGGATTATCTCTTCCAATGGCTTCATATGAATGTTAAATAGGAAGGACAGAGGACTGACCCTTGGGGAACCTCCCAAACCCACACAGAGGAATAGCCATTGGGCTGATCTTTCCTATCCCCCCAATTGGAACTGTTCACCAAGAAACATTGTAACACAGTGCCCCCAATCCCCAACCATGGAGAAAGCATACCATAGTTGGTTTCAAAGGCCAGTGAGAGTTCTAAAAAAAACTATGATAGATCTGTTTCCTACTTCATAACAAATTCACAATGAAATAGAGATGAACATAAAATTCTTCACATTGGAAAAAATAATAACGGTAGATAACAAGGTTAATTAGATTAGAGCATGTGTAAAAAGGAACTTCTACTTGTAGTTGATCACAAGCTGAATATGAGTCAGTAGTACTGTATGATGTGTCTGCTGACTTTAAAATGTGTAATTGTATGTTGCATCAGTAAAAATATAATTTCTAGATTAAGGGATGTAATCTACTCCATTCGCCATTAGTCAATACACACTGAGTGCCTCAACAGTTCTGGACATTGCTCTGGGATAGGTGCACAGAAGAGCAACTCTTGCCTTACAAGGGGAGATTGTAGAAACTCCATGTTTAGTTTGAGAGAAGGCATCAGAAGAGAGTTTCAATTTCCATCATGTCAAAGAACAATTCAATTTAAGCTTCTGAGGATCTACTTATCTCCAATAAAGTCTACCTTCCAGTAAGATTGAGCCGAGTGGATACACTCTAGGTCAGGGGTGTCCAACCTTGGCAACTTTAAGACTTGTGGACTTCAACTCCCAGAATTCCTCAGCCAGCTGGCTGAGGAATTCTGGGAGTT